GGAGTAGGGAAGAACAAAAATAATAAAGTAATACAAAATAAAATGTTACTATAATTTAAATGTTATATTTTTTGTATTCTTAGCATTTTATATTTAATTTAAATATTTAATTATTTTCAATTATTTTAATTAACATAATTACCATTTTTAATTTGTTGCATGTATTTTAGAATTTTTTGGAATTATTTTAATTTATGCTATTTCAATCTTTAACGAAGTCTCATATATGAGGGATTGTCATTTGATCAAAAAATAAAAATAATAAAAATTCTCAATGAAGTCTCCTTTTGATAGGGATTGTGGTTTTGTGATGAGGTCTCCTATTTTATAGGGACCATCATTATCAAAGATCATCATTTAATAATCGGGATATCCTCCGATACACCGGTTGTGTCAAAGTTCAAAGTGGATTCTATGTTTGAGCCGAGCGTGTTGCACGATGGAGTGGGCTAATGATCATTTCAATACAATGCCACACCCAACAACTAAAAAATTTTAATTTGGCTTTAACAATTGGAGTTTAAAAAATCAAAAAATAATTTGGCATAAATAAAATATTTTAGGAGATGAACTTAGGACTAAACTAGAGGCGGTACCTTTCTTAGAAAAAGGCGTCTTTGGGTGATCGATATCTTCCTAAAGCATAACCAACGGTTTACCATAGAATCTCCGAACTAGTGCTACTTTTAAGTTCCTAGTTACTTAATACTAGATGGCAACTGCAAACTTGTAAATAAAATCTAGAATGGTAATTGAGATATTTTTAGGAGTCCCATTCGACATTGGTAGCAACATTAGTGTCAATATAAATATCAAATAAAAGTATTCTATTTGTGATATTGTCCCTCTCCTTTTGGAAGGGTATCCTCATTTAATTGGAGTTCGAGTCACGATAGAATTATAAGTCCATTCTCTTTATTAATACGTCCAATTATACAATAATAAATATATTTTGGTTATAACACTAATAAGATGATTATAATATCTATTTGGAATTCATCCCAATTATGTCATGAGGTTAATCCAGGTTACAAATCCTCAATTTACTTATTCGAATGGTGTATTATTAGGATGTTACTATCTCAACTTTATTAACGATTTTAATTAACTAACTAATGTAGCTCTATTTGATACACCTCCTTAGAGTCTTTAAGGAACTATACATATAGGCTAGATTGTCCCCCCTACATATTGTGAATGATCTAAGACAACTTTCTAACGAGTAGAAATTTGTGTAGTGGAGGACATTTTTCCCTCTACGATACGCTATGAATGAAGAGGGACAATCTATTCCTATATGAGGATGAATAAAAGGAGACAAGCAGGAGATGATCATCTCCCCTTGTTAGCTTATTCTAATTAAGTGTCATTATATGGGGTAATTATTATAGCCAATTTTCTAATATAAATTCTAGCTATTACCTACGAGTTATGGATAATACTATCACTTGTACACCTTAGTACGTGAGGATGGACTATGTTAAATGGGCCACTATTAAGGGATAACTATTGGGGCCTCCACCTAACAGATTTATTGGATACGTTTGATAGGTCAATGGGTATAAACTGATTATAGGGTAACAAATGATTTAGAGGGCTACCTTGACAATAAGGGAGGTCATATTGTTGAACCACTCTCTAAAGTATCTATTGATTCCCCTATTGCATCCTAATCACCATTATGTCAAGTACCTATTACAGGACTATCTAATCATTAAGGGCCAATCAGTTCAATCCATTAGGTATTGGTTATTACAATTATGATATAGCTATTTATCGTCAATAATGGTTGATATAATTTGATTCATATAAATCTTGTACAACCATCCTTATGAGGGGTACTTATATTCTTATTATATGCCGTTTATGGTAGCCTAAAGTGATACCTAATAGTTATATTTGGTTAAGGCATATCCTAGGTGCTAATCCTATTGACATAGGTGAATCAATATTAAAGAGGTCAACAACCAAAATATTAGTTGATTAACCCAATTAGTACACTATCCAATACTGCTTTACCCATTACGAGGTTTGTCCTAGACCATTCGTATTATAGAACTTCTAATCATTGACAAACGCTTAAAAAGGTTATTGTTATTACATCTTACGTGAGCTAGGCATTAACTGTATTATGTTTATAAAATGATATACCCGATAGTAGGTATAATGATGTTTGAACAAATTGTAATAAGGGGATAGGTGTTAGGAACCGGTTATACATATGGATTTTGTGAAGGTTGACTCCCTCTATCCTTATTTGAAATAGATTATCATTGGGCATAATGTTATTACCAAGTATCTAATAATAGTCATTCATTTATACTTAGACATGGGTAGGTTTATCCATTATACAATTTTCGACACGGAGTGGGTACATGGCAACACACTCGTAAGTTGTCAATTGCTCAGATGTTCTGACGACTTGTATTATGGACTAGATAATCACTACCATATTGCCGTCCTATTATGGGATAAACCTACTACGGATTTAACGTTTATGGCTTATGAGTATATTGGTCGACTATATACACGTATATAATTGTAAATGTATACATGAGGATTTCCTTGGAAATAAGCATTCCTCTTAGTGATAATTATATGATACAATTATCATATATTTGATTATTATGGAGTTAAAAAGGGATATCCCATATACATTTTTATCAATTGAAGGCGATTTAGGACTGATAGAATGTGGTGGGGACCAAATTCTATTAGTTCTTATTGAAGGGGTAACCATACACTATGATCCCCTATCATAGTGTATGGTATCAGAAATTGTATAACATTTTCTTTCGAAAATGTAGGAAACGTATCATTTCTAGTATACTAATTAGAAGTATAGGATAATAGGATATAGGGATATTTGGTTAACTCAAATTCTAGCCTCTCCTCACCAGATTAAAGATTAATCTATATGTTAAACCATTTAGATATTCTAGATTAGAGGTCCAATTTTATTTATTATGAGATAAAATTCTTATAGTATGGCTAATCTTACAATAATCGATATTGTACTAAATCAATACTAGTCTATGTTATCCTGTTTTCAAACAGGTGTATCTTTGAACAAGACGTAATAGCCCCCTAATAAATATTTTAGCCCTATAATGCAAACTCCTCTCTATCTTGATAATTTATAAGGGTTCATCTATAACATCCCTTTTCTCAAATTGAGTGGACCACTAATAAGTTGATGCCTTCTTGCTACCACTTAATTATATGACTATAACAATTGTGCGGAACTTAATATTTTTACATATATTAACTTAGCTACTAGTTATGGTTAGTAAGTTAATATACTAACTTATCACCTTTAACATCTAGTAGATATATGGGCTGATTTCCTATTTCTCTAATAAGGAATATATGGCCCCCTATTATGTTGGTTAATAATAATAAATGACCATGGATTAACAAACTCATGTATGGATAGGAAATTATAAACCAATGCCCTATTATACTTATATGTGTTGTATAGCCAATTTAGGCATCTATAATCGATTATGTACATCCATTCCGAAGAGATTCTTATATCCCATAAATGTGACGGTTTACAATAATTGGTTTTGTATACTAAATGAGAATATCGATTAGTACCATAATTAAAAACCTTAAGGATGCACAAAGTGATTAATACTCAAGGATATCGGGGGTAGACATTAAGCATCAACCATATTAGTTCATAATGTATATTAAAAAAATTTTAGAAGGTATATTAATCTCCCACCTTATCAAGTATAGTTAAGGGCCCAAATTAAGGTTAGGCCACCTTATATATGATTAACGGTATTAGTAGACAATATATTTAAGGATAGACAGGGGGATTAACGAGTAAGGGTAATAATTATTCAACTTAATGGTACTAGCACTATATTTGGCTACTAATATATCTCTCATTAAAATAGATAAGTTGATCTTACCCGATTATTTCACACCTAAATTAAGGTTAGTATAGTAGATTTATACCTATTAACTTATTACCAATAATGATTAATTATCATCCACGGACATATTATCACTACTATATTCCATAGTTTTTGGTATTAATAATCTAAATATACTCTTTTTACTATCCTATAATATCAAAGTATATTAAAGATAAGAATACATTGTAATGGGACCCATTAGATAAGGAATAAATAACCTCTCTCTTGTCAAGCGAGAACGGTATGCCCACGAGAAATTACAATGTGTTTTTATCTTTACATTAGTATATAACATACCTCTAAGATTGCTTTTCTAAATATATCGACAAAATGAGGTGTTATCTATTTTAAAGATCATAGGATAAGCTGAATTATTTATGTCCTCTTTAATTGGTCGTTTTTAAAGATCTAAAAAAAACTATATATGAGATAGGTCGATTGGTGGATATATGATAAGGATTATACTAGTAAATATATCAATGTTCCTATAATGGGACATCCTCTAGGGTATAATGATAAGGTTTTCACTTATGACAAAGATGGGCACATTAAACCAATATCACTACTCCATCCGAGGTATATGTCGAGCGCATATAGGAAGTATAATTACAAGAGTAATCTCTCTAAAGAGTGATGCCATTCTATCATTAGACCTTTTTACCTATTTTGGGGATCCATTAGATAAGGAATAAATAACCCCTCTCTTGTCAAGCACAAGAAATTACAATGTGTTTTTATCTTTACATTAGTATATAGGATACCTCCAAGATTGCTTTTTAAAATATGTCGATAGAATGAGGTGTACTCTATTTTAAAGATCATAGGATAATTGAATTGTTTATTTCATTTTTAATTGATAGTTTTTAAAGATATAAAAAAACTATATATGAGATAGGTTGATTTGATGTGAACCCCACGTATAAAGATGAGAGACTTAAACACCTTTGTCGCTAGACACCCTTAATAATGCGTCCAATTAGGTTATAATAAGTGAAACCCGACCCATTGCCTATAAGGATGCAAGAACCGAAGCTATATTGCAATGGAATGAAGAATAACATACCCGATGGAGGATGATAAGTTCGGAGATGCCATAAGGGTTGCAATCCTTGACAAGTCGATTTAGTTCTCAAAAGAATAAAGAAAAAAATCCTCTCAAATTTATTAACTATCAAAATTATTGTCAAACTCGAAACAAAACTAAACCAGCATTTAAATAGGCTAAACATGCCACCCCTAAACCTAAAAGGACTTTACACATCCTTGCCATCTAAGGAGAACAAAAACAAACCCTAATGGACTTGAAAGATTACGAAAATAATAAGGCTTAAAACATTGAGCCCAAATTTGACTTAATTAATTAGTTCTAATTATAATTAAGTTAGATATAACAAAATATGCCCAAGCATAATTTAAGGAGCCCAATCATAGATTTGGATCAGATTGACAAGTCTTGGGTCCCCCTCTTCTCTTAAGGTGGCACCACAATGCTCCCTTGGGCCTTTGAAAGTGCTTCGCCCAACAATCTAGAATCACCTATTGAGAACTTCTTTAAGCTTTTTAGCCCTAGCCCACATCATTGGATCATCTTTAATGTGTAATAGATTGAATCTTTGAATTGCAAATTCGCCATCTTGTATCTCCCTTTGGAGACGCCACCTTGCTGGCCCACTTGACTCCTTGGTTTCCATCAATACAACCTTGACTTTCTTTATTCTCATCATTCTCACTTTCCTCAAAAAGATTCATCCTTGAATCTTCTTCTTAATGCTCATCATACTCCCTCAATTGGAGAACACTCGTCCTCGAACCTTGTAATAACAAAGTATCAAAAACGCGTACTCAACTCTGTAAAATATGAACAAATAACAACAAAAAATATTCAGATTTGATTTTATTGTCATTCATCTCCTCTAGAAGGACAAATTCAATAGATTTTATGTTCTTTTAAACATCCATAATCTTCTCATTATCTTCCTCCTTTTGTACAGCGACAAGATTATCAAACTCGTCCTCTTATGGCTCTTCGTGTTGTTTTGTCAAATCTTCAATGAACATAGACTCTTCTTGTTTAATACTCTCTAACTTCTCCTCAAGCACTAGTTCTCTTAAATTAAGATAGAATTTGGATGCCTCGGCCTTGGCCTTGTAATCAACCTTTGATAACTCTTTATTGATAACAACATAGTCATCATTACGATTGAAAATTTGAGTGCTCTCAATGCCCACAAAATTAGCAGCAACATGGCCATTGTTATGAATGAAAGTTTGAGTGCTCTCAACCTTTTTTCTCTGAATTTTTTGTTTCGGGCTCATTTGGTCCTCATAAACTTGCTTAGGTGACAATGGAACAAGTGTTCCTTTTTGTCCCCTCATTTCAAATGAATATCTGCTACTAAACTCATCATGTGTCACTTTTCTAACAACTTGTCAAGGTTTTCCTAGAAAAATATGACCCACTCTCATCGGTACAACATCATACAAAACCTCATCCTTGTATCTTCCAATAGAAAAAGACACTATCACTTATTTTTTTACCTTGACTTCTCCACACTCATTTATCCATTCCAATGTATACGGTCTAGGATGTTTAATTATGGGAAAACTCAATTTTTTGACTAACTCGGGACTAGCAACATTGACACAATGACCCCCATCTATTATCAAATGATAGACCTTATTATTGATGACATGACATCGGGAATGAAAAATATTATCTCATGCCTCCTCCTCACTTTTCACTTGCGTGCTTAAAGTGCGTGTAATTACCAATGACTTACCACAAACATTATTATCAACAATCACTTCACCCTCTCTTTTAGGATTTTTATCTTTTAACATGTTTAAAACTATACACAAAATTTATTAGTAATAAAAATTCCTCACACACACTCCCTCACATGTTTCACTCAAATTGATGCCACTCAACGCTCATGTTTGCTCTCTTTTAGGCTTTTTCTTTAATACGTTCACATTCCCTATCCTTTTACCACTCTAATTCACTCATTTGGTTCTTCTGCAATCTAATCCTAACCATACAAGAACTAACCAATTGCAAGTGACTCAACAACTTCACTTTCCAAGAATCGGATTTCGAACAAATTTGGAAAAAGGAATTGACAAAGCAATTCAAATAAGAATTTTAAGTTTTTAAACACTATAAATGATACTAGAACTGACTTGAATTGAATTTAAATAAAACAATAACAAATAAGACACAATGAGACAAAACAAATTAGACATTTTTCTATGCTTTTTTTTTCCTGAATTGGAACTAACTCAATTTGGAAATGAAATAACAAAGACACGAAATTGAATAAAAGATAATGGGAAAAAAAACCTGATTTATATTTAAAATGAAGTTAACTACAAATCAAACTTTTTCCCTTTTTTTTTCTCTCTTTTTTTTTTTTCTATAAGACTCAATTTATCAAGCAAAGGAACACAAGACTCAAACAAGAAAAGATATGGTAAAATAACAAGGAAGACACGACAAAGAAAACAAGATTGACATGAAATAAAAAATGCAAGGACTATGGATAACCAACCCGACTTTGCACAACCTAGGCTTTGATAATAATTGATGTGAACCTCACATATAAAGATGAGAAGCCAAAACACCTTTGTTGCTAGACAACCCCAAGAACGTGCCTAATCTGGTTATAATAAGTGAAACCCGACTTGTTGCCTATAAGGAGGTAAGAATCGAAGCTATACAATGGAATGAAGAATACCACACTCTATGAAGGATGATGAGTTTAGAGATGCCACAAGGGTTGTAATCCTTGATAAGTCATATTTAGTTCACGAAAGAATAAATGAAGAAAATCCTCTCAAATTTATTAACTACGAAAATTATTGTCTAACTTTGAAACAAAACTAAACTAGTCTTTAAAGAGGCTAAACATGCCACTCCTAACCCTAAAAGGACTCTACACGTCCTTGTCATCTAAGGAGAACATAAACAAGCCCTAATGGATTTAAAAGAACATGAAAATAATAGGGCTTAAAACATTGAGCCCAAATTCAACTTAATGAATTAGTTCTAATTATAATTAAGCTAGATATAACAAAATAGGCTTAATATAATTTAAGGAGCCTAATCTTGGATTGGATCAGATTGATAAGTCTTGGTTCCCCTCTTCTCTTAAGATGGCACCACAATGCTCCCTTGGGCCCATGAAAGTGCATTCTACCCAACACTCTTGAATCAGCCCATGGAGAGCTTCTTTAAGCTTCTTAGCCCTAGCACACATCATTGGACCATCTTTAATGTGTAATGGATCAAATCTTAGACTTGTAAATTCGCCATCTTGGATCTCCCTTAGAGACACCACCTTGCTGGCCCATTTGGCTCTTTGGTTTCCATCAATACAACCTTAACTTTCTTTATTCTCATCACTAGATATACCAAGATTCACCCTCATTAGATACAATATTGGTATAAAAATAGATCAAGTAATCTGCACCATTAATAATTAACACCATTAATTACCCCACTCTCATAATACATCTTATTGGTAGCTTGAATTAACTATATGATAAATAGGGTTATTACATGGGTATCTTGTTAGATAATATAAATGATGGAACATGGTTTAACATTTTCTTAGTATATGGAGTGTGGAAAAGTTGATGGCTCATATTAGTGAGTAACCTATCCACTCATCATATTTTTATGGAGCCCACTAAATATAAATGACTTAGAGGCACTTACCATAATATATAATAACCCAATACAAAAGGACATAGTTTAACACTAAGTATCAATCAAAGTTAATATAGTATATGGTGGTAAGCCATACTATCATAAGGCATCTCCCCTATGTCTTATACTCTCTTATAATTCTCTTGAGAGATAGTTTGTGGTCTCTACATGCTTTAGGATGAGGCACATTATATGAGGTAAAAATATTATCCCTCGAATTAAGGTTAAGCATGTAGAGACCACGATAGATTAACACATATGTCATTAACCCCTTCCTCACTCTCTCTTTTCCTTCACTAATGAGGTAAAAATGGCCTTTATCATGATCAATTCATGAATAGTTTATCAAGAATCATTATGTCTTCTCTGTAGAATACCCTTATATTTTTTCAATGGATTAACTTATAGAATTGGATATGTTAATTTAAATAGATATTAAGGGATTCATTCCTCCATTAAATAGTCCCTCACTAGGTCATTCCACACTAAGGAATGTTCTAATTATATCCCACTTATTCAGGACACCTCTAATGAAAGTCGATTTTAACCATTAATTATGCCCATCTATGTTATTAAACATCAAGAAATAGTATGATAATGATATGTAGGAGAACTATGACATTTTGGAAAGCATTTTCTTAATAAATACAAAATAGAGGAGGCATAACTAAACTATTGCGTAATTAAGTACTGTTATAAAGAAAATAATAGTACTTATTAAGGCCATATGTCGACACCAATCTATTCTAATTAGGTTGGTGCTGCATAAGGCCATATAACGATCCCTCAACATCACTACTCTCCCTTGCCCTCTCCCTCTCTCCATCTCTCTCCCTATCTCTAGGCTTAATCTCTATCTCTCTTTTCTACTAAAAATGTAAATGGAACGAGTTCTTACCATGAGTATGGACGGGTGAGGGAGGGAG